TATATCGTATTTGAAGTCTCCTTTAAAAATACTGAACTAAATCTCAGATATTAAACTGTCACCACAACAAACATAATGGAAAGAAGTAGCAAGATGGAAAATGATGGCAGCATGAGAATAGTTTTATCTACATTTCCTTGCATACTACATGGAAAAGTGAGTATGTGCTTGTTTTTATGATAGATACAAGTTAATTTAAATATCAGTATAATAGTAGTGATAATCCTATTTAAAATAAAAAAAGACTGTCAAAAAAAATTCAGGGCCCTTTCCATTATTGTCATTGTGGCTAGTCCTTTCAAAATAAGAGGTTTTGTTTTAGCTTATCACCACTATTGCCTTTGTGCTTTTTATTTGGACAATATTTAGTGCATTCTGTAAATATAAATATAAGAAAGATGTATAAGACATGGTGCTAAAATATCTATATAGCAACAGCTCGCAGGAGGAGCTCTACTTTATAGCTTGCAATTAAAGATTATTCATAGGTGTACATGGTTAATAAACTGCTGAATGGGTTTTGTCACATGCTCTTATATTACAGTCCTTATCAAAGTAGAAATGGGGGTCGTTTTTATTATACTGGTCACAAAATATAAGGTGGAAAACTTCTGGGGAAATATGACTTTAATACCCCCTAAAATGAACAGATCATTCCTGCAATAAATAAATAAATTATTATACACATGATTTCCTAGTTTACACACATTGATTACAAAAGGTATCACAAGCATGATACACACTGGCACATCCTAATATATTTATGCCTTCAAACAGGCCCTCTTTATGGGATCACTTGCTATCCATTACATCACCATTTTGTCAGGTTAGACAGTGAACAACTGAAAGCTCCTTTCATAGCGGTCTCTCAGCGCTCCGGTCCTCAAGCACTCAGAGAGAGTAAGCTCCCTCATCATAGCAGGTTCCCCTCTGCAGTCTCACTGCTCCAAACCACAATGGAGTCTCATCATCTTTGTGTTACGCTGGATTAATATTTACGGAAGGGCCTCAAAAGCATTTTTGCTTCAAAGAAGTGTTGGTGGAGACGGGTTCCCATCAATCTCAACCTTGCTCTGCCCGACGCAGAGCTTTGTGTGTGTGGGCGGGGAGGGGCTCACACGGGGTTGGTCGGCGGCTCATCACTGGGCGAATACACTGGCACAGGGTTGGGTTTAATGGCTCTGCTCTTCATGTAGGAGATCAGCTGGTCAGGGATCTCAGCCAGTACGTCTTTAGCCAGTCGAGCCATGCTCAGCACATGGTTACCTGTGCGGTCCATGTAGTCTCTGAATGGTACAAACTGTTGTGACATGAGAAAGAAACACATTACTTTTAAAAATCCCCGAATCAAACTGGCAATGTTTTCCTGGTTTCCTGGCTGATTCACTGAAATGATGAATCAAAGGAACACCAAGGTTTGAAAATTCTTTGTAATGTCCAGAAGGGGGCGACTCCTCTGATTACAGAGAGAATTTTATAAGCCATGTAGGTCAATAAGAAAATTACGGAGCCCCACAGGGGACATGGGAGAAAAAAAAGATTAAGACGGACTTTTGCGAGATCTCGCAAAACAAACTCGGGATCTCGCAAAAGATCTCGCAAAAGTTTTAGCCGCATTCTTCGGAGGCCACCAGCTTGAAGCCGACCGGGAGGTCGAGGCACGATGTGCCGAGAAAGCGGTGTTCCTCCCGGCTGTAGTAGGTCTCGACCTCCCGTTAGCTTCGAGCTAGTGGGTGTCAGATCTCCGGAAACGTCGGAGCTCTTTTGCAAATATGTGATGTCGTGTAAACCGAGCAGATATCTGACGTTTACACAACTACATTCACGCCTCAAAATATCTTAAAAGTGTATTTTGTGACCCAGAAAGAGTAATATTACAACTAAGTAGCTGCCGCCATTGTTGGAATTCAACTTTTGCGAGATCCCGAGTTAGTTTTGCGAGGTCTCGCAAAATCCGTCTTAATTTTTTTTTCTCCCATGTCCCCTGCGGGGCTCCGTAGAAAATAAATTTAGTTTTCGGTTAATTCATAAATTCTGCAAACAATTTTCTGCTAATTTTAAGGTCCTGTTATTGCAAGACTCCACAGTGGTAGATTGATGTGCATACAGTCATGTGGAAAAAAATCAAGTTTTCTCACAACTATAAGATGTGCTGTGAAAGACACCCTTACTGCTTCCATGGGAGTTAAGACTAAGCTTAAGGAGCACCGAGGTGCTGCTAATCAAATACACTTAAAATGATCCTCAGCCAGTGTGAGCACCTCTATTAAAGAAGAGCTTTTGGCAAGTTGCTGGTCTAAAGCATTCACATGTGTTTTAACACATTTCCAGCAAATTCACCTCAAGCTCAGACTGTGCAATACTCTACAGACTTCAGTTAGCATATTAAACATTAATGTTCATAACAGTACAATATGAAAAGACTGAATAAGTATGGCTTGTTTGGAAGGGTTTCCAGGAGAAAGTGTTGGATCTGAAAAAATCACAAAAGTGCTGTAACAATGAGAGATGAGACCATAATGCACAACACCACATCTGGAGAAAATCAATCACAGCAGTTCAGCACAAAACCTCATACCAGCTGTCGAGCACTGTGGTAATTTAGGCTTGTTTTGCAGCCACAGGACCTGGGCACCTTTTGGTCATAGAGTGAACCGTGAACTCCTACCAAAATATTCAAATGTAGGGTATCTGTCCAAAGTATGAAACCTGGCTAAAACTAGGTGATGCAACAGGACAACGATCCCAATCACAGTAGCAAATATAAAGAGAATAGCTAAAAAAGAAAGAATCCAGATGTAGCAATGACCCAGTCAAAGTCCAGAACTCAGCCTGCCTGAAATGCTGCAGCGGTGCCTGCATCTGTGCATAAACAAATGCTGACTGTATGTATCACCTTGGCCTCCAGTAACACTGTGAGGAACCTTGGAGTCATTTTTGACCAGGATATGTCCTTCAATGCACATATTAAACAAATATGTAAGACTGC